AACCTTATGGGGGATTCATTGTGATTTATGCACAGTTTACCAACCTGTATGGTGCAGGTGAGACAGAAGTCTCAACACGTTAGCCTCATCCCAATACCCCTCCTCGACTCCTCCTTTCCCTCACTCGTGTCCCTTCCTTGCGTCTTAGCTCCGCCTCCGTAAATTGCGAGCGAGGGACACGAGGAGGTGACGCGAGGACAGAGGAGTCCTCAGGTATTAATTGGGATGTCCTCGTTCACTCAAACGTCCCTCTTAAACGACGTCTGTTAATGATGACATGTGCACAGCTGTATCTCCTCTCATCGGGCTTAATTGAATAAACCCTTAGAACCGGCCCATTTGTTGTTAAATATTTATTTAAATGAATGAATCTTTCTCTTGTTAGTCAAGGAATTCAATGATGGTTGGTCCTGCTTTTGTGTTCCGTTTTGGTGTAAAATGTAGCCTACATTTAAATAAAAATATAATTATAGTAATGTAAAAGCCTTTTAGAAATGAATTGCATATAATAATTCCCACGGAGCTGTGAGCACTTTATTATGTGACGCTTTTTCCACTCATCTTCCAGTTGTCGGTTTTCCTCTGTTGAAATTGACCAGCTGTGAAGGTGGGGGCGGGGCTTTTAGTGAAAACCCTTCCGCGTAGTCTGCTCGCGTGTATCCTCCCTTTCGTCTCCTCCCGCACCCCTCCTCCTTCACCCCTCCTCAACTCCTCCGTGTGCATTTCAGCTATTGGGACGTCCTTCAAAATGGCGTGTCTTGATCGATTTCCGGGTCAAGTCCCGGAGGAGGGGAAGTGAGGAGTCGAGGAGGGGTGTCACTACCCGATCTGCAGCTCTGCCCGATCTGCAGTGCGCATGTGCGAGATGGTCCGCCATATTGGACAACTCTGGACGGCAACCCAAGTAGGACAACATTGACACAGTGGCTTTTGACAAAGCTCAAAAATAAAACTCGAGAGAGATGAGTTATTGTTATTACAACGTGACTTCACTATTATTTAATAACTCTTTTTATTGGGTTCTTTTATTTGGGGTTAAGTACATTGTCAGATTAAGTGAGGAATGGATTTAACTTCTGTTAGACAGCTATCATACTGAATACATATTTACTGTGAATGTATGCAAAAATGTATGGCATATGGCTGTCTAACAGAAGTTAAATTAATTCCTCACTTATTCTGACAATGTACTTAACCCCAAATAAAAGAACCCAATAAAAAGAGTTGTTAAATAATAGTGAAGTCACGTTGTAATAACAATAACTCATCTCTCTCGAGTTTTCCTTTTGAGCTTTGCCAAAAGCCACTGTGTCAATGTTGTCCTACTTGGGTTGCCGTCCAGAGTTGTCCAATATGGCGGACCATCTCGCACATGCGCACTGCAGATCGGGCAGAGCTGCAGATTGGGTAGTGACAAGGGGTATTGGGATGAGGCTGTTGTGTTCAGTTTCCTTCCAGATTACTTCTGAGGAAACCCCGGAAGTCCGTCCCTCTAACCAGTCCCCGGAACACAAACGTTCCGCCACACTACCAAATGCACTGCTCAACCCCGCCAACGAAATGAAAATAGACAGATGTACAAAACAAAGGCATATTCCAACTCCAAACAATAATAATTATTATATCAATGTGGTCACACATCCCAGGGGTGCCAAATATGGAAAGCCATTTACGCCATGATTCGTGCATATTTTCGTGCGAATAAACGGGGAGGTCCGTATAAGTTCAAAGTTTCAGTAACCAATCAGTGAAGAGTAAAGCCAGACCAAAGCAATCTGTAGATGAAAAGTTCCTGACATTGTGAGGCTGTGAATTGTACATTATTCCGGATTCATGGGACTATGTATTAATTTGCCTTTCAATATAATAAATATATCAATCAATATAACCTGCCTTCATTGTCTTTTAAAAATAAAATCGCCTTACCCTTTTCCTAAACCCTCTGGAGTGTGAAGTGAAGGGTATTTTCTCAATTTTTAGATGTCTCCTTAAATCACCTTTTAAATGTACTTCTTATAATGTATGGTGTTACTTATCAAAATGTTCAGTCTCTGGTCTTTCTAGAAACGCAAAGTCACTCACCGTAGGGCACTGTCTTATGAAATACTTAGCTTAGAGATCCGATTTTTGGAAAACTTAAAAACTGTTTTTTTTGGTGTTTCAGATTTGGTTTACCAAAGTCTTTGGTTCACAAAAGTAGTGAAATATATGAATTACCCTATAGGCCTATATAAATGTGTTATTCATGTCTAAAATGAAAATGTGTTAATTAGAATTTGGAGTAAAATAGTTCTATCACTCTACTTTCACCACAGAAAAGTTACATCAGGACTGAGTAATGACTTCATATTCCAGGACATGGTTAAACCGTACACCCCAGCACGTGCACTCCGCTCTGCATCAGCTAAACAGCTCGCTGCACCCGCACTGTGCGGGGGACCCAAGTTCCCATCAGCAAAAACACGTGGGTTTGCTATCCTGGCTCCAAAATGGTGGAATGAGCTCCCCATTGACATCAGGACAGCAGAAAGCTTACACACCTTCCTGGGGAGACTGAAAACTCATCTCTTTCGACTCCACTTCGAGCGACAGAATTACTAACAAAGCACTTATATACTAATAAAGGACTGGCTTATCTCAAGCCAGTTGAGTAGCACTTGAAATGTTTTGGCTCTATGAAACCTGATGTACTTATATGATAGGGCTGAACGATATACCGTGTCATGGCGATAACCGCGGTATGAGCCTGCACGGTATTCACACCGCAGGGACGTGCGGTTTTAATTCATCTTTTTTTTAAAATGCTAACGCACTTTAGCACAGAATTCAAAATAAAGATACCCTTATTACTTATCGAAACTGCACATACAATATATCCGATTAAAGCTGAGACTCCACAGATTATTTAAGTATAGTATCTAAGCGATCCGATCTCGCAACAGGGGAAGCAAGCACAGACATCACAACACGTACCTTTTACGGAGCTTTTACAGGAGATCGTCTCACCGTAGCTGTCAATCTGATCAAAATACGTGTTTAATGGCATTAAACCGAGAAAGAAAAAACGCGGCTGAATCGGTTGATCCATAGATTGATAATGTATCTGTGGCTTTGAAGTAATTGTTTATAATCCATAATTCCATTTTTATGTAAAAATTGGAGCACAAAAGTTAGCTGCTAATGGTAGCCATCAGAGTGTATGTCCCTGCATGCAGAGCAAACCACCAATCACAATCATTCTGTATCAAGATTGATGCAAAACAAGGATATTTGACCTTTTTAGACAGATTTAGCACCAAAAAAAACCTCTTTTGGGGCCATTTGGGTGGATTTTCCATATCTCTGGCCCACCTTGCTGGATTTTGACATGTGACATCTCTTTCTGACCGTCAGAACCAATGGAATCGAGGGGAAATCACACAGTCCTATCCTATCCTATTTTTGACGCGGCGCAGCGCGGCGCAGGCAGGAAGTGGAATGTTCATCCAACAACTGCGAGGCTGCACACACGACGCTCCGCTTCCGCAACGTTTTGAAACGCGCCTGGTGGGTTACCCCCAAAACTGTAAATGATATATATATATAATAATTATGATGATGAATGCATATTTTTTTACCACTAAAATACAGCAACACATCTTTGATTCATGTCGTTTATAACTGGAATATTACAATTATTATTAACTGTGTCTGTAGTCTACAACACAACAAAATAGGAAATAACAACAATAAACACGATTTAAACAGACACAAACATAAACCATTTAACTACGTATAGCCTACTTACTTGTAGAAGTACAAATGTCCAGGAAATATTCCAAAATCAACAACAACTGCGAGGCTGCACACACGACGCTCCGCTTCCGCAACGTTTTGAAACGCGTCTGGTGTGTGTTGTCGCAGGAGGAGGTCGCAGCGTGGCGCAGCCGCAACGTAACGCGGCGCAGACGCTCCTGGTGTGTTTTGGGGGTTAGGACGCAGGAGGAGGTCGCAGCGCAGACGCTTCCAGTGGGATCAGGGGGTAAGCCAGTTAAACGTTGTGCTGTTGTTGGCTGCAAGACTCGAGAAAGGGGACTGCATGTAATGCCATCAGTGGAAAAAGAAAATAATCTGTGGCTAGACTTCATTTTCAAGGGACATGTGCCAGAAGACCACGGCAGATTTCTGTTGGTGTGACTGTGTTCCAAACATTTTACGACGGACATGTTTATGAACTTCACTCAAGTCCAACACGGATATGCCTCCAAACTAATGCTAAACCCGGGATCAATACCAACCATCCGGGACCAGGCCAGTGAGGACACATCCAATTTTGAAGCTGTACGTTTTTATTTAGCGGTGTTTTTCCTGATAAAGCTATCTCTAGCTTGTAGTATGTAGCATGTAGCTTCGCCGTATCAATGTCGCCTCAAACCCAAATAGTAATCGGTTAGGTGTTTATATGTTTTTGTAACATTTTATTTTGTACGCTCCGCAGTCTTTGCTTTGTCTTTTATTTTAATTATCAGGCATTTGCTAACATGTTCAGACATATTGCCATAATGGCGATCTGTGTGAAGGCTGTAAAGCCACACCCTAGCCGATAACACAAGTATTTATTCTCCTATTTATTAGTATTTTGTATCCTCTAAAATCATATTGAGTAAGTTATAATAACAAACGTAATCTTCTGTAGGTAGGGAGAGTGGGGTAAGTAGTGCCAATTTTTACTTAAAGTGCCTTTAAAGCAAGGGGATTACAGTAATGCCTCCAACTAAAATATGTACATATAGTTTAGGATGTTGTGCATCCCTGGGAACAATCACTTCGGATCTTAAATAAACTGTTTGAGAAATATAGCTTTAGAAAAAAAAGTGGTTTTGTGGCACAACTTGCCCCCGGTGCGGGGTAAGTTGTGCCATTAGAGACAATACACTGGGGTAAATTGTGCCATTGATAATTGAAGTAAAACAGATCATTTTAATCTCACAAACAATAATGCTATATAAAAGCAAGACACATTCAATACAAAATTATTTATTTAATGTTTATTTAAAGTTTTAACAACATCAAAGGCCACTTTAAAAATGAGCAGCAAATCATCTGCATCTGAATCTCTTCACAGATTCGGCCTACTACTGAACATCCCACTTGTCAATGCTGCAGGGGAATGTGAATTTATACTCCCTTCTGGCTGTACCACCAAGTTTTTGTGGTGTGGGTAGTTTCTTGAGCACATCACCTCTAGGGATGACTCCTTCATCATTCTCTCTAAATGTGAAGATGGGCTTTCCATCAACAGACCTCTTATAACTTTGCTTCAGAAACTTTGCACTGATCTCGTCACCTTCAACATTCTCCACCAATCCAACATAGTTATAGCATTTGGATTTTTTACCTGCAAACTTCACAATGACAAAGTCACCAGCAGACAGATCCTTGTCACCATCATCATCATCACTCTGGACATCTGAACTCTCATAATGAGTGGTATCGCTAAGTGGAATCGGAAAGTCACTCTCTTCTGAGCTACTGGAGAGCACTTTCTTTTTGGGCTTGGTTGGTTTTGACCCTTTCAGAGCCCCCTTCTTATTTCCACTCCTTTTCTTCTTCTCAGCCCGTTCCTTTTCTCTGCTGTGTGTCTTCTCCAGACCATCTTCTGCCTCATCATTGGTGGTGGAGCTTTCTTCTGAGCTACTGTACACAGCTGTTTTCTTCTTGGTTTTGGTTTGATTTGCAGCTTTCAGAGCCCTTTTCTTCTCTCTTTCATTCTTTTTCTTTTCCTGTTCAGCCTTTTTATCTTCTTTTTCTTTGTGAGCCTTCTCCAACTCCATCTTCTCAGGTGTGTCGGTCACGATTCTTGTTTTCACTTTCTTTCTTACACATTTTTTTTTTCTTTCTGTGGCTTTTGGCAAGGGAAGAATGACTTCTGGAGACACATAACCCAAGTGAGCAGAAGAACCAGATTTGTCACTTGATAAGTGCTCGGGATTTGTCAGAGTGGCAGGTGGCTCTCCTGGGTCTGGATCTGCTTCAAGGAAAGGAAAGGAAAGGAAAGGAACTTTATTGTCATTGAACACAGGGAACAACAAGATTACGTGGTCAGGTGGAGGGTAAGCCTGAGCCATGCCACTATGCGCACCGCCACTATTGGCCTACCAGACTTTTTTTTTAAATACCTGTGACATGTGTTGGCTCATGAGATGGTCCAGGCAGGTGAGCAGCTGCACTGGTGGAGGGCTCTTCTCCAGGCAGGTGAGCAGCTGCACTGGTGGAGGGCTCTTCTCCAGGCAGGTCAGCAGTGGCACTGGGTTCATCTTCTGGATTTGCCCTGTCTGTCACCATTGATGGTGCATAGTCTTCTTCCGGGAAGATGTCCCTGTTGAAAGGGTATATGCCTGTTGCTCTGAACCCTGAGGTTATGTTTGTTGGTGACATTGCAGAGAGGAACGCTTGCTTCACAAGAGAGAGAGAGAGAGAGAGAGAGAGGAGAGAGGAGAGAGAGAGAGAGAGAGGAGAGAGAGAGAGAGAGAGAGAGAGAGAGAGAGAGAGAGAGAGGAGTGATCATATCAGCATGTCAAAGCCAGATGATTATTAAGTTACCTGTCCTTCACTTTAGAGAGGTTATCAAAGAACTCCCCCACGTTGTGCTTATTAAAGGCAGTAGCTCTTCCAAGAGAGGTTGCTTCAGGAACGCGGCATGCCAAATGGTAGCGTGCTTTAAAGGCGTTGAACCAATCAGGTCCTAGAAAAGGTTAAAAGTTTATCAGCACATTGCAGTTTACATTCAGATAAGTTGAAGTTATCCGCTCCAAATAACTATCCAATAGCCTATACTTGATCTAACCTGCTTTTTCGTCTCTGGTCCAGCTGGCAGGCATGTCAATGCTATTTCTTTGTGCGAACTCAAAAGCCAGTTCACGGCATTTCATGACACCTATGCCATGAAACATTGCTGCTAGTGTCTTAATATGGTCAGCCAGCTCTTTCTCCATGTTCTCATTGAAGACTCGTTTGGCGACTGCTGTTCTTTCATAGCCTGGCTTTGTTACTTCTCCTATTTTTTTCTTATCCATATGTCTTTTTATGGTCATCCTGCAGATCTTCATCTCCTTTCCAACCTGACGTATGGTCTTCCCCTGTTGCACCTCTTTCACTGCTCTTTCCAACTCCTCAAGAGGAGTTGAAACCCTGTCTGTCTTCCTTTTGTATGTGCGTGGCATGATGGATTTTGGTCTAAAATTAAGAATGTCACATAGTTTTAGTGATCAAATGTAAGAATACAATGTACAATAACAATAAAATACAATAAAGTAATATATAGTAAATAATCATAAATTGGGGTAAGTTGTGCCACTGGCACAACTTACCCCAGGCCCTTTGGCACAAATCACCCCAAGCCCACCATTTTGAAAAAAATGCATCCCCCAGCTTTTTTGAGCTAGCATCATGCTAACTGTATAGACTCATGGCGTAGCTTACTAAAGCACTAAAACATGTGTGAACTGTTTTTAAAGTTGTCTAAATTGTTCAAACACAGCAATCAAAAAACCTTGATCATAGAAATTTTACTTTGGAGGGCAAAAAATTGTTTTTTTAACTTAAATGTGCTTACCTCTCAAGCCATGTGACTCCCTTCTTTGCAGGATGATCGAAATGGATGCCTCTTCAAAAATATGTGGTCACATGACCAACTTCTTCTATGGTTTTCTAGATAACAGGGGTGGCACTACTTGCCCCTTGGCACAAATTACCCCACTCTCCCCCTAAGTGCCTTTTGTTTGCTGCGTTATATGTAAAAGCTTTTGTGATTGTAGTCTGTAAGAAGGATCAGATATCATCGATCTGTAAGCTACGCTACGCTAATGAGACATGCCGTTTTTTGCAGCGTTATATGTAAAAGCTTTTGTGTGTTTACTTGTTTGCGCACATGAATATAAATGGGGGTGTGTGAGGATACAACACTGTGTTGCGAGGGGGGACACACACCACGAGTAAAACGGAGCTAAAGCCCTGTTGGTCTGTTGTTGTTGACAAGGCCTTACCTCTAGCAACAGGCTAATTAGTGGCTAGCACTCATTACAGTCAGTCTACTGAGCTCAGCCCCTCTCCAACATATCATCTGTATTGAGTCAGAAACACAGCATGCACGTTACGGTTCAAAACTAACTCAGATTGGAAAAGGCTAAGCAAAGAGCTTTGCTAAATAGAGAGTTTTAAGCCCCATCTTTTGGGATTTCAGACTATATTTATCCAAATAGTATTTTCTCATCCTGAATACTAAATTGAGATGATTTTGTTCTAACTATGTTTTCTTCTTTACAGGCCAGAACCTCACATACTTACTAATTAGTGACAATTTGTACATCCTTTGCTATTATTTACTTTTTATCATGGCGGAAATGAAAGACTGTATCTGGCAGCCCTGCACTACAATGAAAACGCTGAGCGTGCACAAGCCAACATCCACTGGAAACCCTCTGTATAAACTGCAGTTCCCAAAGGCCAGGAAGGGAGAATGCAGAGCAAAACCAGTAAAGACTGACCCCACATTCCGTAAGTGTTTAAAATATTTATTATACAACTATTTACAAATATAAAATAAAAAAATTAGAAAGAACTTTCAGTTTTTTACATGCATATACTAATCTAAACCACATTTTTTTGGGTGCTTTTTTTAAACATTGCACAGGCTACGTGGCCAACTTGATGGACCTCATCTTCGACCAAGTCTTTGTGGACCCTGCACCATTATGAGCGACCTGACAGGGAGGAGGTCATTGCCGGTTATGCTACACGGTTCAATTTGGCTGCTGTCTGAACCCAACATCGACATTTTGCGGATCAGGAAACTCCTGCCTCCCTGAGGACAACGCAGGCCGGAATCACCACTCTGATCCTGCGTCCAAGGAAGCCCCAGCACCAGCTCACAAAGCTTCTGTAGGCTAGATACCTGTGATGCCTGAAATCATTAAAAAATATATTTAGTGTCATTTATACAAAATACAAGTACATTAATTTTTTTTTTATGGGTTCAAAGAACCGTTGATTTTGACAATAAAGTTCCGAGTTGATATCAAATGTGTCGTGATTATTCATGTTTGGATGGGTAAAGAATATTCTGATTTCAAAAGCATAAGGTTGTGTGTGGACTTTTGTTGTCGTACACATGGGTGTGTTATGCCATTGCTGCGTAGTAGGGCTGTCCCGAATACCATTTTTCGGGCTCCGGATATTCGGTAGTAATCAGCAGCGAATATTCGAATATTCGGTGCGGAGAGATTTTTTTAATTAAAAAAAAAATGTCATAACACGCTCCGAGACACCTGACAACACGCTGTTAAGCAGAAGCGCAGAAAGAGCATAGGACTACTATTACGATGTATATGTATTTATTGTCTCAGTACTCGCATACATTAAAACTAAATGTGTCCTCTGCATTTAACCCAGCCGCAGCGCAGCGCCCGGGGACCAAATCCGGTTCCAAATTTCGTCTATAACGTTTTACAACCTGAAGATACAAAACACATATTTCTGTTATAACAACAATACTTTTAATAACATAGCCGTAACAGTAGGCCTAACAGGGTAACACTTGTTACCGATACAGTAAACAGTATTTAAATAAATGAAGAACGAAAAATAAATAAACGAACTGTATGCCAATAATTGCCTTAGCCCCAGATGTTCCACATTGCTCCTATTATTTTCACTATTTGGATCAAATTGAAAATCTAATATAAAAAAACAATTCGGTCACTTGCAACTATTTTCCAAGCAAAGTAAGTGCACGTTTTTATCATGTGTAACGTTACTGTTTAAACGGCGGATAAAGCAGCTTCATCGTGGCAACTTGACAACAGCTAAGCTAAGCTAGGCTACTATTTACAGCATCCGGTGACTTTTCAGAGTTGTTGTGCCAGCGTGGTAGGCCAGTTTCTTGTCGCATATTTGGCACACTGCCTTCTTCTTACCGTCGTCCAATTTAAAATGGTCCCACACAGCTGAAGTCTTCGGCATTTTGTGTTCAGGTGTGTGAAACGAGGTGAAGCGAGGTGAAGCGTGCCGTTTGCGTTCGTGACTGTGAATGAACGCAATGTCAGGAGCACAGGCTGAGATTGTATATATTTCCGCATTTGAACAGTGCAATTCAAAAGTATAAATATAGTATAAGAATATGGCAATTCGCCTTTATTGATAGCATACATTTAGGAAAAAAAATTAAATAAATTGAAAAAAAATAAAAAAACGAATATCCGAATAATGAAATTGAAACCCGAATAGTTGGCCAACGAACGAATATTCGAATATTCGGGTACAGCCCTACTGTGTAGTATATAATAGTACATGTACAATGACAGAATGAAAGATTGCATAAAGCCATATACACCAGTATTTATTTCCATGAACAATATTGGCATTCGTTTTACAATTTCAGTCAAAACAAACAAACCACTCACTGCTCTATTTGCCTCAACTGTAGTCCACCATGTTCAGCTCTGTAAATATTCAATGCATTCTGCAGGGAGAATACATTCAGGCACACAGGCTCCAATCCAGGATGCTCCACCATACAGGTTACAGAGTCCTCAAGTTCCTGCATCCGTCTTGACACCTAGTGTGATAAACATATATTGAATGACATGTAAAAAATGTATTCTCTAAACAGACAACTTAGTGAAGCTATCAAAAATGTTACCTGTGGTATCTCCATGCAGCACATTCTCCGGTTCAGAAGGCATCGTGGCGCAATTTGCACATGTACACCTGTAGAAAGAAGTCAATAACTGAGCTTTTAAAAACACATGAAACTACACACACTGCTGACAACTGAGGTGTTGTTGGAGTTATACTTTTTATCACCCTAAGTTATTGAACTTTCCAACGGTTGTTGCACGATGTTGGAAGAAAAGGACTGTAAACTATTAATAAACGCAATGAGGCCATTGTATATATGCTGAAAATATGAATGTCTCCCTTTATAAATGTATATATGTATTGCTGTTTTTGCATTACAAACTCTAAGTTATAAACTGTACACATTGCATTCTTGCTAATTAGCCAAAATATGAACGGAATAAGTAGCACGCATCGTAACAAAGTAAAAATAAATAGGGACAACAGCTTGTCAACTAACCATTCAGAAACGTCCTGCTGCAACCGAGATGTTTGCACCTCCACCAAAACCTCCGCTGCTTCAGGGTCAGTCTCTGGATCAAATTGATAATACGCTTGAACACATGCATTGCTCTGAGATGACATGTTTATTCCACACTCGTAATCACAGCAAGCATGGTAACGTGACTCGCCGGCTCATGCCCCGATCTTCTGCAGGGGGGCGTGGTCAGCTGCTGCTCAGAATTTTCAAAGACAGGCTTGGAATAGAGCGAAAATGAGCGAAACGAGGCATGGCTAAAAAATGATCTGTTTGGTATTTTGAAAAATAAAATGTATAAATATACCTTATATACAGGGGGTGCACATAACTTTTTTGCCCTGTTTCTCAAAGGAGCACCTGGAGATGTTGCTTGGTGCTCATCCTTAAAATGAAATAAACTGTAACTTTTGAGGGGGTCTTGACTTTATTTGCCAGACACACGGCACTGAACACAAATGCAGAGGTGAACACAGAACACACATGCAGAGGTGAACACAAGACAACATTAGCACGACCAGTAATCCTACAAGCTGTCATCACTACCCTCCTGACTGTTCTCCTCACTGTCAGACATGGTAGCTGATGATGTAGGCCTACTTCTTTCTCTCTGGTTGAGTCTGCGATTAGCTGCTTGCATCCACAAGTCAACAGCTGGGTTTGGGTCGAAAGTCTCTGTTGTCATCTTAGAAAAGTGGATGTAATCAAATAAATATGTGAACATAACCAATAACCTACCATAGCCAATAACAAATTAATGTAACTTATTTTATTTATGTTGTTCATTCATATCTTATTTTACCTTAACATTTATTTATTTATGCATTTTTTTTTTATCTCCAGTTTTAAAGGATATTGTTGGTTACAGTCCTATAGTATACATTGGAATGATTTCAAACTTGTTTATCCCAATAATTATAAAGGAGTGCCTTGGAAATATGTGTTTACATAAATTGTGACCAAACCGTTTGAACTTAGACTAAAGTTAACTATCTAAACACTTAGAGTCCTTACCTCACTGAGCTGTAGTTATCAGCCTCTCAGTCTGACTGGAGAGGACTCTCCCTCCACATTATTGTAGAAACATCTTCTTCTTATATCCGTTAAAGCAGCTAGCACCAGATTCTAATAACAACAGCGCCGGTACCGGTGCACCCACCCTCTCTCCCTCACACTTTGGCTGTGAGCTGCGGGCGCCAGATAAGCCAACATCCCCCATTTTCATCACTTACAGCGCCCATCATACAGGGCAAATTAAACGTGTAACCGGGGTGAAAAGGGTGTTACATTTACTTAATTATGAATGTTGTTACATCAAGGCCGAAAATTAGGATGAGCACCAACGGTCAAAAATGGTTTTTTCCCTCCCAGAGCTGCCAGCGCAGCGCATTCCCAGATCTGGCGCCCTAGGCGAACATCTATTACGCCAGTGCTACGGGCTGGCCCTGAGTTCATATCATAGGTTCATATGCAACTCGCAAATATATTTCTCGCTCTCTCTCTTCTCTTTTCTCTCTTCTCTCTCCTCTCTTTTCTCT